GCCCACTTCCCCACATCCCCACTCACCCTCCCTCCTCCTCCACCAGTAAAGCTCCTTCCTCCAGCCACTCCCCTCCTCACTCAGTTCCGTCCGCACTCAACCTCACCCTGCCACAGCACCTTAAGTCTCCCGCCTCGCTCTTCCTCCAACATCAATCTCGCCCCGCTCCTCCCTCCGCTTCCCACGGGACAAATCTCCCCCCTCCGGCCACTTCCCCTCTCGCTCCGCCCTCTGTTCCGTCCACTACCCGTCCGCCCTCATTCTCAACCCCGCTCCGCCCTCCAAATCCTTTACGGCCGTTGCTCCTCGTTTCTTCAAGCCAGAACCTGTCGGCGTCGCGGAGTCTGAGGAACTGCTCCTTGATGATGGCCTTGAAGAGCTCCCGGGCCGTTGCCTGCGACTCCAGGCATCCCGCCGACGTACGCTGAAGGAGGGAAGGAGGGTGAGAGGAAAAAAATATGGAGGAGATGGGAGAATGAGACGCAAGCGGAGGAATGGAGGAGAACGCGCGAGAATGGGAGAATGGGAGAGAATACAAGAAAGGGAGAGGTGAGAGGAAAAAAATAATGGAGGAGAACGCGCGAGAATGGGAGAATGGGAGAGAATACAAGAAAGGGAGAGGTGAGAGGAAAAAAAATAATGGAGGAGAACGCGCGAGAATGGGAGGAGAATGGGAGAGAATAACAAGAAAGGAAGGTGAGGGAAAAAAATAATGGAGGAGAAACGCGCGAGAATGGAAGAGATGGAGAAATGGAGAGAATAACAAGAATGCGTGGGAGGGGTGGGGGTTGTGGGGGGGGGGGGGTGAGAGTGAACGGGGAAGCGGAGGAGTGTGTTGGAGGAGGAAGAGGAAGAGGTGGAAAGAGGAGGAAGGAGGGAGGAGGGAGGGAGGGAGGGAGGGAGGGAGGAGGGGAGGAGGGAGGGAGGAAGGAGGAGAGGAGGAAGAGGAAGGAGAAGGAAGAGGGAAGAGGAAGAAGAAGGGAGGAAGGAATAAGAGCAAGAGGAGGAGGAGGAGGGGGAGGAAGGAGGAAGGAGAGGGAGAGGAGGAGGAGGAGGGAGGAGAAGGGAGGGAGAAAGGGGGAGGGGAAGGGCTGAGGAGGAGTAGGAGAAGAGGAGAGGTGGAGGAGGAGGGAGTGAGGAGGAAGGGAGGGAGGGAGGAGGAGGAGAGACGAGGAAGAAGAAGAAGAAGAAGGAGAAGAAGATAGAAGAAGAAGAAGAGAGAAGAAGGAAGGAGAGGAGGAAGGAAGTGGAAAGGGAGTGGGATTAGGAACAAGAATAAAAAAAAATAGAGTCCGAGGACGTGGAATTGGAAAGCCCCAAACAAAAGAACGTCACCCACGCGGGAAGCGAAATGTTGTGGCGAAAGGGAGAGGCAAGAACAGGGAACAACGCTAGGAAATAAAGAGAAAAAAAAGTGAAGAAAAAATCCTTTACGAAAGGAAAAAGGGGAACCGGGGAGAGATGGAGAGAGAGGAGGAAGAGGAGACAGAAGAGAGAAGGAGAGAGAGGGGAGAAGGGAGAAGGAGAGAGAGAGAAGAAGGAGAGAGAGGGGAGAAAGAAGGAGAGAGAGGGGAGAAAGAAGGAGAGAGAGAGAAAGGAAGGGAGAGAGAAGGAGAGAGAGGGAGAGAGAGGGAAGGAGAAGGAGAGAGAAAGAGAAAGAAGGAGAGAGAGGAGAAAGTAGAGACAAAGAGAAAGAAGGAGAGAGAAAGAGAAAAAAGGAAATACAAGGAGAAAGAAGGAGAGAGAAAAAGAGATAGAAGAAGAAAACTAAATCTAAAAGAAAAAGAGGAAAGCAGAGAGCAGCAGGAGAGGCACTGCTGACGGCGTGCCACAAGTCACGTACGTCGCTGCTCAGAGCCGTTCGGGCTTTGGACTGGAAACACGGTTGACTTATGTGACTTAAATAGCAGGTTTATTATTATTATTCTGTACGTAAGGGAAGATAATGAACTTATATGACTTAAATAGGAGGTTTATCGTTATTACACAGACACAAGGGAAAGTAATGATTTATGTGACTTAAATAGCAGGTTTATTATTATTATTCTGACGTAAGGGAAGAGAATGACTTATTAGTTTGAAGATGCAAGGAGGAAGATAATGAATTATATGACTTTAAAGGAGGTTTCATAAATGAGCTTAGGTTATCAGTATTTTATTCAGAAATAGTGGGGAAGAAGAATGAGTTAGAAGTACATAACATAGAGTAGGCCAGGTTTGATATTATTATTCTGCACGTATAAGGGAAGAAGAATGATTAATTGATTTTAAGGTTTCCATTGATTGAGATCAGTAGTGAGGGAAAAGAATCGAGCTTATATGACGTGAGATAGGCAGGTTATCATGTATTATTCACTGAAAAAATACTGTATATGACTGTTAAATAGCGCGGTTTAGGTTCTAGTTAATTGATTATCTTGACGTTAAGGGAAGAGAATTACTTATATGGAGTTAAGATAGGCAGTTTGTCGTTATTAAGCAGACGCAAGGGGAAAATAATGACTTATTGACTTAAAAACGGAGGTTTATCAGGTTATGTATTCCTGAGGTAAAGGTGGCAAAGAATGATTTTATGATTAAAACAGAGTTATGTGTATTATTCGGGAGCAAAGGGGAAATGACATGATTAATATGAACTTATATAGGAGGTTTTTAACATAATTATGGTGGTGAGAAGGAAGGAAAATGACTTAATTTGATAAACAGGAGTTTATCGTTATTAATTCAGTTAACTGCAAGAGTGGAAATATACAACTTGACATAACTTATTATTGATTAAATGAGGTTTTGGTCATTATTATTCTGTAACGCAATGGGGAAATATGATTGACTTTATATGATTAAATCAGGTTTTGTCATCTAAAATTATTCAGGGGTGGACGCAAGGGGAAAGAAAATAGATTATTTTGATGCTTGGAAATAGGAGGTTTATAATTATGTAGTTCAGTACGCAGAAGGAGGATATAGAATGGACTTATTTGAGCTTAAATAGGGAGGTTTTATATTGCATCATTCATGTGTGGTGAGTCAAGGGTAAAAACCAATGTACTTATTGACTAAACAGGTTTTCGTGTATTATTCGGGAGTAAAGATGGAAGGAGAATGGATTTATTATGACTTAATGACAGGAGGTTTATTGGTTAATTATTTCGACGTCAAATGTTGGTATGAATAACAAGGTGGATGGTGTGGGAATGACTTAACTTTGAGCGGTTAGAAGCATGGTTTTATGTTGATTATTGTCGTGGGACGTAAGGTGAGAGAGAATGACTTTATAATGACGTGTTTAATACGGAGTGTTAGTCGTTGATTATTATTCAGGGACGCGGATGGGAGAAAATACAAATGACTTATATGACTTAAATAGGTTTGTCATTATTAGATTATGTGCTGACGCAGAGGGGGAAATAATGACTTAATAGAATGATTAAAATAAGGCTATTGGTCATTATTTATTGCGGGGACTGGGCAAGGGGAGAAGAGAATGGATGTATTTGCCTTGAATAAGGGTTTACATACATTTTGTGACGGTAAGGTGGAAAGCAATGGAACCTTATATGTACTAATAGTTTTGTTCATGGTATTATTCAGACGCAAGAGGGAGAATAATGACTTATAGTATTATATAGGAGGTTTAACATCATTATTGGTGACGCAGAAGAGGGAAAACAATGACTTATATGACTTAAATAAGGGGTTATCGTTTTGGAGGGACGGAGAAACAGAGACTGCAAGGGAAACAATGGATGGTATATGGGATTAAAATAGTGGAGGTAAGCAATTTATTATTCGGGGGACAGAAAGGAAGGGGAACGCGAAAGGGGAAATAAGTGAAAGTTAAATATGACTTAATACGGACCGGTTTAACACAGTTATTGTGAGGCAGAGGGAAAAAATGGAACTTAATATGACTTAAATAGCAGGGGTGTTGTCGGTTATTATTCACGCGAAAAAAATAGCGTTAACATGACTTAAATAGCAGGTTTATTATTATTATTCTGACGTAAGGAAAAATAATACTTAAAGGACTTATATAATGGGTTTATCAATATCATTAAAAGTGACTTAATTGACTTAAATAGTAGGATTATCATTATTATTCTGACGTAATGGAAAAAAATAACTTAAATGACAGGTTTTTTATTATTAATCAGAAGAAAGGGAAAAAATTACTTAAATAATTTAACTAATAGGTTTATCATTATTATCCAGACGCACGGGGGGAAAAATTACTTAAAGGACTTAAATAGTAGGTTTATCAATATCATCTTTATTCTAATGTAAGGGAAAAAAAAATGACTTAATTGACTTAAATAGGTTTATCATTATCATTTAGACGTAAGGGAAAATAATGATTTAATTATTGACTTAAATACGTTTATCATTATTATTCAGAAGGGAAAAAATGCCTTAAATAACTTAAAAAGTAGGTTTATCATTATCATTATTCAGACGGAAGGGAAAATAAACCTTAAATCTTTGACACACAAGGATACATTTGCCCTACGCAATCGCTCTTGTTTTGTTTACTATCTCGGCCATTCAATAATTCCCCTGTTTATTCACATTCACCGGCAAAATATTACCTCCAAAACACACCACACACACACACAGACACACACAAACCCACAAACAATCGTACAGAAGCCTCACCCACCCATTTAACTACCAAAAACGCACAGGCAGTACATACAAATGCAAAACACAACCACACACACAGGTGTACGCAGGCAGGCATGCATACGCATATGCACATATACATACACATACAAATATATACTCATACATACGCATAAATGTACATACACATGCATGCATACATGTGGATATACATACACATACATACATGCATACAGACATACATACATATACATAAACACACACACACACAACACACACACACACACACACACACACACACACACCACAACACCACACACACACACACACACACAACACACACACAGCACACAGCACATCGGCTACGCGCGGTGCTGCCTGCATGCGTACGTGTGCGTATTAACTCATTCACCGAATCCAGCGGCTCACTCACCTCACATCCCCTCACCACCCCATCCCCACAACCCTAAAGAACGCCCATGACGGCCCCTCCTAAAAAAAAAAAAATAAAAAATAAAAAAATAATAATAATTAAAAAAATAATAAAATAAATACTCATCGCCTTCACTCACAGGTCGACATTCATGAGGTCGCCCCGGTAGAGGTCGCGGAGGCTCTCGAGGAGGTCGGGATGGTCGGCGTACAGGTCCGGGTTGATGTCCTCCCAGCGCTCGACGACGTCCAGGTGGAAGCACTTGCGCACCGTGTTGTAGTCGGGCAGCCCGTTGTCGCGCCCCCGCATGATGTTCAGCGCCCCTGGGGGAGGAGAGGGCGGGGTGAGTGCCGCGGATAGGCCGGACGTCTGGGCGGCCTTTCGTCAGGTAGAGCACAAAAAATGGACGATATCTTCAATACTGTATTTCACACAATCATGCTGAGGAAACGAGACACGAGAACCCCCAGGGGAAACCTTCCCACCCGGTGGAGGACCAAGATCAGCTCCCCCGAGGAAGGTCCCGACGAGAGAGGAGAGAGAGCCCCTTCCGAGGACACCCCCGACGAGAGAGGAGGACCCCTCCACCTCTCCAGGACCCCCTTCCCTCTCCCTCCCCTCAGCGAAGCCCCCAAGGCAAAGAACCCACCGGGGACCCAACCCCCAACCCCCCAACCCCCCCCAACCCCCTCCCAGAGCTCCCCACGTACCCAGATCCCTCCTGGAGAACTCGAGCGGCCCGAAAAGCTTGTTGCGGACGTCGGAGCAGAGCACGTGGTCCTCCTTCTCGGCCAGCTGCGAGGCCAGACCGCGGAGGAGCTGCTCCACCGTGCTGTTGGCCATCACGTCCTGCGGGGAGAACGTGGGCGGCGGAAGATCACGAGGGCAGAGAGACAAGGAGAGAGAAAGGAGAGAGAAAGAGGAGAGAGAGGAGAGGAAAGAGAGAGAGAAGAAAAGAGAAAGGAGAAGACGAAGCGAAGAGAGAGAGGAGAGACAGAGGAAAAGGACAAAGAGAGAGGGAGAGACAGAGACAAGGAGAGAGAAGGAGAGAGAAGGAGAGACAACGAGAGAGAAAGAGAACCAAGAAGACAAAGAGGAAGACGAGAGGAAAGAGAGAAGGAGAGAAAAGAGAGACAAGAGACAAGAGGAGGTAGAATTAGAGAGAAAGAGAGATAGACAGAGAGTGAAAGACTATATAACAGAGGTGTATAAAGATAAATAACTATATGAATAAATAAATATATCAATTTACACATCCATATATGAATATAAATATATATGCATGTAACTGTGTATGCAGATATCTGTACTAAAGATCCACATACTGTACATAAACACCTATACGTAAAGAAAGAGAATAAATAAAAGCAAATTAAATACATACATATACACTTCTGCCTATTTATACCTATACATATATATATATATACAGTTGCTGTTCGAAGGAAGTGCAGGAGAGAGCGACAGGTAGGCTGACAAGCTTAGTAAAAGTGCAAAGAAATCTTATCCGTTTTCCCTGTGACTTAAGGCAACAAAGTGCTATCCAGACGTGCAGTCGAGTATCAGAAAAAGTGAAAATAAATACATGGATAATAAAGAAAAAAAATTGCGGTAGCAAATCAAAAAGACAAATCACGTGATTTTACAGAGTCTCACAGAAGCGGGAAAAAATAATACACACATACTTCTGTGACTTCTTCCTTCCCTCCCCCCCTCCCCCCACCCCGCTCCTTCCCATTCTTAAAAAACAGACATAACAATCTCCCTCCCTTTTTCCTCTTCCTACTTTCTTACTCTTCGCTTCATCCCCCCCTTTTACCTCCCTCCTTCTCCTCCCCTTTGCAATACACCCCGCTTATGTGTCTCCCCCTCCCCCCTACCCCCCCTCTTCCATTTTCAATACCTCCCTTCCCATTCCCTCCCTCTCTCTTCCTCCTACATCGTGCCTTAAAACCGTCCCCTCATTTTTACCCCCCCCCGCCCCTTCCTCTTCTAAGCCCGCCCCTTCCCTCCTCTAAAGCACCGCCCCTTCCCAACTCTAGTACCCTTCCCAACCGCTTCTTACCTTCAACCCTTCCTTTTCTTCAACACATTACCCCATCTTACCCTTTCTCTTGTCACCCCCACACACTCACCGCCCTCACTCTCTCCCTCTCTCCCCTTCCTCCCTCCCTCCCCTCTCCTTCCCTCCCTCCTCCCTTCCTCCCTCCCTCCCTTTCCATCTCCCCCTCTCCCTCCCTTCCTCCCCTCCCCCTCTCCCTCCCCTCCCCTTCTCCTTTCCTTCCTCCCCCTCCGCCCTCTCCCCTTCACCCACCCCTCCCTCCCTCCCTCGCCCCCTCCCTCCCTCCCTCCCCCTTCCACCTCCCTCCCTCCCTCCCTCGCCCCTTCGCAGCCCCTTCCGCGCCGCCCGCTGAAACGCGCCCACACGAACCGACACGAGAAAAACACGCCCACACGAACCACGCCCGTTGTAGCTGCCTCGTTGGCCCCGATATTCATCATCTACAAGGCCACGACACACGAACACGTCGGAAGAGAGGGAGAGGGAGAAGGGGAGAGAGGAGAGAGGAGAGAGGGGAGAGGGAGAGAGGGTAGTGGGGAGAGGAGAGGGGAGAGGGGGGGAGAGGGAGAGAGGGGGGTAGAGGGAGAGGAGAGAGGGGAGAGGAGAGGGGAGAGAGGAGAGGAGAGAGGGAGAGGGAGGAGAGAAGGGAGAGGGAGAGGGAGGAGAGAGGAGAGAGAGAGAAGAGAGAGAGAGAGAGAGAGAGAGAGAGAGAGAGAGAGAGAGAGAGAGAGAGAGAGAGAGAGAGAGAGAGAGAGAGAGAGAGAGAGAACGAGAGCGAGAGAGAGAGAAAGAAAGGAAACAATGAAAGAAAAGAAAGAGAAAGAGAGAACAGGAGAGGGCTATCGGATGGCAAAACCTTTGTGGTTCCCGAACACAAGCTCCCGACGGCTATCTTAGAGAACTCCTGAAGAGATCGTGTTCTCTTTCCTCGCTGTCTGTCGGGAAATGACTTCAACATCTGTCGGGAACTTCAACATCTGTCGGGAAATGACTTCAACATCTGTCGGGAAATGACTTCAACATCTGTCGGGAAATGACTTCAAACATCTGTCGGGAAATGACTTCAACATCTAAGATATTCCAACTTCTCTCGCATGAGGGAGGGAAGAGGAAAGGGCAGGAAAAGTAATTAAAAGGCCACGACAGTAAATAAAATCCCTATATTTATGTAAGATAATCATCATCGTCATCATCATCATCATCATCATCATCATTATCATATCATTATCATTATCATTATCATATCGTCATCATCATTATCGTCATCGTCATCTCGTCATCATCATCATTATCATTATCATTATCGTCATCTCATCGTCATCGTCATCGTCATCATCAAATCATTATCATCATCATCATCATCATCATCATCATCTCATCATCATATCGTTATCGTCTATCATCATCATCATCATCATCATCAATCGTTATCGTCATTATCATCATTCATCATCTCACCATTCATTACAACGCATAAAAATTGTAAATACTACCTAATCTAAAACTACAATTAATATCTCTGCTAAACCGAATAACCTTAAAAAAAAAGCTAAAATCAAACGAACTTATATCATGCCAGCGCCATTTTTACCGCCCTTAAAAAGAAAAAAAAAAAAAAACGAAATAAGATAAAACAAAAAACAAAACAAACATTCACCGATATAGAAATAAGAATAATAATACATACAAAAAAATCGAAAAATGTTCATATTCCCGTATAAGGACCACGTGAAGGGGAGGAGGGAGGGAAGGATAGAAGGAGGGAAGAGGGAGGGGGGAAGACAAAGGGAGGGGGAGGGGAAGACAAAGGGAGGGGAGGGGAGAGGGAGGGAGGAGGGAGGGAGGGAGGGAGGGGAGGAGGAGGGGAGGGGAGGGGAGGGGAGGGAGGAAGGGAGAAGGAAAGGGAGAGGGAGGAAGAGAAAGGAAAGGGAGGGAGAGCGGGAAGAAGAGCCTCGCCCTCGTATATATAGGAATATATATACGAACATTTGTATGTTCTTTTCCTGAGAAAAATGTCTTTTTTATCCCTGAAGGAGAATCGTGTTTATCCGTACTCTCGCTCCTAAGTAAATATTTTACCATTAGGAAATGTAGTACAAGAAATGCTGGACTACATACAGATAATGTCAAATGATAATAAATTTTAGCAAATGCTACAAGAGCCTTTAGTTAATAGTGCAATGCAGTATTAGCAAGAGACAAAATGACGATAGTAATAATGGTAATAATGATAATAAAAAAAATAATAATATACTATTTACTACTACTACTACTACTAATATAATAATAATAATAATAATAATTTTGATAATGTATATAATAATAATAATAATAATAAATAATAACAAATAGAATAAAATAATAACAATAGCAAATAATAATAACAACAAAGAACAGAGCGGCAAAAAAACGTTTCTCATCTCCCCCTCCCCCCTCCCTCCCTCCCTCCTCCCTCCTTCCTTCTTTCCTCCCTCCCTCCCTCCTCTCTTCCTCCCTCCCTCCCTCCCTCCCTCCCTCCCCTCCCTCTCTCTCTCTCTCTCTCCCTCCTTCCTTCTTTCCTCCCTCCCTCCCTCCCTCTCTCCTCCCTCCCTCCCCCAACCCACGTTCCGCCATGGAGCCTCGGCCACGCCTTCCTTCCACAAAACCCCGGCGCCAAAAATGTGGGCGGTGTATTCATCTCAAAATAAAAGGCACAGAAAAAAAAAGGTTACATGAAAGATAGATAGTCCCTGGGTGCCGGTTTTTTTTTTTTTTTTGTTCTCTCTCTGTTCTCTGTCTCTCTCTCTCTCTCTCTCTCTCTCTCTCTCTCTCTCTCTCTCTCTCTCTCTCTCTCTCTCTCTCTCTCTCTCTCTCTCTCTCTCTATCCCTTGCAACATCTGCCCTTGCACGCTATAATATGTTAAAAATGCCTTGGTGAAACCTGTCAGTGTCCACGCGAACGTGTCCAGCCCCAGGAACGTGCACAGTCAGAACGTCATGCATACAGAACGTGATAAGACAGAATATCATGCACAACGGACGTGTCTAGGAACGGAACAAGATCTCGTGCATGGGGGACGCAAGCAGGACGTTCCGAGACTGACGTTCTCAGACTGACGTTCCGAGACTGACGTTCCGAGACTGACGTTCCGAGACTGACGTTCTCAGACTGACGTTCCGAGACTGACGTTCCGAGACTGACAGACTGAGAGACTGACGTTCCGAGACTGACATTCTGAGACTGACGTTCGAGACGACTGAGACTGACGTTCCGAGACTGACGTTCCGAGACTGACGTTCCGAGACTGACGTTCTCAGACTGACCTGACGTTCTCAGACTGACGTTCCGAGACTGACGTTCCGAGACTGACGTTTCCCAGACTGACATTCTCAGACTGACGTTCTGAGACTGACGTTCCCGAGGACTGACGTTCTGAGACTGACGTTCCGAGACTGACATTCTCAGACTGACGTTCCGAGACTGACATTCTCAGACTGACGTTCCGAGACGACGTGACTGACGTTCCGAGACTGACATTCCGAGACTGACGTTCCGAGACTGACGAAGAGGACGTCTCAGACTGACGTTCCGAGACTGACGTTCTCAGACTGACGTTCTGAGACTGACGTTCCGAGACTGACATTCTCAGACTGACGTTCTGAGACTGAACACCATGCGCCGAGAACGCATCACCGCCCCAATACGAAGGGAACGCGTATCCCCAGAACACCGGGGAGAACCGGGACGTACCATGCACATATATACCCGGTGCTCGGCCAAATCCACGCAAGCAAAATATCATGCACAGAGTACACCAACCTCCGCTCCCTCCACGCGTGCTTCATGGATTGACAAATGGATCATGCAAGCAATTTTTTTTTCTTTTTTTCTATTTATAAAGCCATTTTTTATCATGCGCTTTCATTGATTGACAAATGGATCATGCAAGCATTTTTTTTCTCTTTTCTTTTCATAATCATTTTTTTTTTTTTCTTATCATGTGATTGATGACAAATGGATCATGCAAGCATTTTTTTTTTCCTTTTTATACAGCCATTTTTTTTTTTCTATTTATAAAGCCATTTTTTTTTATCATTGGTTCATTGATTGACAAATGGATCATGCAATCGATTTTTTTTTCTTTTCTTTTTATACAGCCATTTTTTTCTTTATCATGTACTTCATTGATTGACAAATGGATCATGCAAGCATTTTTTTTTTTTCTCTTTTATACAGCCATTTTTTTTTTTCTTTATCATGCACTTCATTGATTGACAAATGGATCATGCAATCGATTTTTTCTCTTTCTCTCAGCTCTCTTTTTTTGATTTTTTTTATACAGCAATATTTTTCTTTATCATGTACTTCACTGATTGACAAATAGATCATGCAATCGATTTTTTCTCTTTCTCTCTCTCTTTTTTTTCGTTTTTCCTTCTATACAGTCGATTAATTTTTTTCTCTGTGCAGCCGAAAGCAAATCGTGCAAAGTGCATGAAAAATACTCCGTCATGCAGTCCTCTCCCCTTGCATCGTGACTTCCCTTGCATCTCAAAATAACGAGGGAGATGATCTCATTTCCTCGGAGTAATACGGTGCATAATTAACAGCGAGGCCGCCATCTTGTAAAAAAAAAAAAAAAAAAAAAAAAAAAAAAAAAAATAAAAAAATAATAATAATAATAATCATCAATAATCAATCATATCAATCATTCATCATAATCATAATAAATATCATCATATCATAATCATAATCATAATCATATCATAATCATAATCATAATCATAATCATAATCATAATCATAATCATAATCATAATCATAATCATAATAATCATAATCATAATCATAATCATAATCATAAATAATCATAATCATAATCATAATCATAATAATAATAATAATAATAATAATCATAATAATAATATAATATACAATAATAATAATAATAATAATAATAATAAGATAATAATAATAATCATAATAATCATAATCATAATCATAATAATCATAATAATAATAATAATATAATAATAATAATGAAGTACCGGATGATGAATCCTTTTGCCGCGTTTTTTTTTTTTTTTTTCATTATTATTCGTTTCTCTTCCCCGTCTTTTTTTTTCTTTTCTCTTTTTCTTTGTAGTCCATCGTTTTCCGCGCATGCAATGGGTGGGAAAATAAAAGAAAAATGAAACAATAACGAACACATAGAGTAAAATAATAATAATAAAAATATGAAAATAATACAAGACAAAAAAAAAAAAAACACACAAGTCAAAAACGAAATAAATCAAAATGAGAGAGAGAGAGAGAAAAAAACAACAACAACAAATAAACGAAACCCAAAAAATAGCAAAACTCTCCCCCCCCCACCCCAACCCCACCCCACCCCACCCCCAGCCCCTTTCGCCCCTACCCCACCACCCCACCCCCACCCCCCCGCCTGACCGACCGAGAAAAAATGGGTGGCGTTGCGTCGTCCAAAATCCGCTTGTCCTTTCAACGGTCCTCAACAGCACCACGTGGGCGGGTGGGCGGGTGGGCGGGCGGAACGAAGGCCTTTATGCACGCTTCCGAACGCGGGAAAATTCCCCCACCCCTTTTTCTAGAATCGTCCGAATCCTCATCGAATCAAATCAAATTCTTATTCTTCTCCTTCTCTTTCTCTTTTTTATTTTGTTTCATTTTTCTTTCTGTTTCGTTTTCATTTTCTTTATCCTTATCTTTTTCTTCAACTTCTACTTCTTCTACTTCTCCTTCTTCTCCTTCCTCCTCTCCTCTTCTTCCTCCTGCTTCTCCCCTTTATCATCATCATCATCACCACCATTATCATTACCCTCACCATTACCAATCATCCATCATCCATCATCATCCACCATCATAACAAAAACTAAAAAACAAAAACGGAAGTGTTGCGACAGACCATACTTAACGTGTCTCAACCCTTGAACGTGTCTCAGTCCTCGTCTCGAAACACAAGACGACAAAGCAAATACAATTTTTTTTTTTCCTTCTTCTTTGTATTTTTTGTTTCTAATTATTATTGTCAGCAACGACAAGGGAGGGGGAGGGGAGGAGGAGGAGAGGGGAGGGGGAGAGAGGGAAGGAGGGAGAAAGGGGAGGGGAGGGGTAAGAAGAGGGAGGGGGAGGGGGGAGAGAGGGAGGAGGGAGAGAAGGGGGGAGGGGGAAGAGAGAGAGGGAGAAGAAGGAGGAGAGAGGGAGAAGAAGGAGGGAGAGGGAAGGAGGGAGAGAGGAAGGGGAGGGGGAGGAGAGGAGAGAGGGAGAGAGGGAGGGGAGGAGAGGAGAGGAGGAGAGGAGGCGAGGGAGTGGGAAGGTCGTGATCACTTTAGGAAAATGTCCAATGACCGTCATGCTCGCCAGCCTCTCAAGGTGCGGCCGCGAGGGGGGGGGAGGAGGAGGAGGAGGAGGAGGAAGGAGGAGGAGGGAGGAGGGAGGAGGAGGAGAGAGGAGGAGGAGGAGGAGGAGGAAGAGAGAAGAAGGAGGAAGAAGAAGAAGAAAGAAGAAGAAGAAGAAGAAGAAGAAGAAGAAGAAGAAGAAGAAGAAGAAGGAGGAGGAGAAGGAGAAGAAGAGGAAGGGGTGGGGTAGGAGTGGGGGTAGAGAAGAGGAAGAAGAAGAAAAGAAGAAGAGGAAGAAGAAGAAAAGAAGAAGAGGAGGGAAGGGTGAGGCATTGGGGATGGGAGGAAGAAGGAGAGAATGGGTAGAAAGTGAAGGAGAAGTATTAGGAGAAGGAAAAGAAGGTAGAGGAGAAGGAGGAGGAAGAGGGGAAAAGGGAGGAAAAAATAGAAATAGAACGAGAAGGAAGAGAGGAAGGAAAACAAGGAAAAATAAGGAAAGGGGGAGGAGGAGGAAGAGAAAGAGAATGAAAGGGAAGAGGAAAAGAAGGGAGAGAAAGAGGAGGAAGAGGGGAGAAAGAATAGCAGGAAAATTAAAAGGAGAAGAGAGAGAGGAAGAAGAACAGGAGGAGAGGGAGGGGAAAGAAGAAGAAGAAGAGGAGGAGGAGGAGGAGGAGGAGGAAGGAGGAGAGGAGGAAGAAGAAGAAGAAGAAGAGAAGAAGAAGAGAGAGGAGGAGGAAAGGAGGAGGAGGAGGAGGAGGAGGAGGAGGAGGAAGAAGAGGAAGAGGAAGAGGAGGGGGAGGGGGGAGGAGGAAGGGGGAGGAGAGAGGAGGAGGAGAGGGGAGGAGCAGGAGGAGGAGGAGGAGGGAGGAAGGGGGAGGGGAGAGGGAGGAGAGGGGAAGGAGGAAGTATGCCGTCTACCTACAGAATTCTCGCACCTTATCACACATCGAGCCCGGTCTGTCTCTATCATAACCCCCAATATCTCCTTTTATTCTCTCTCCCTTCTTCATCTTTTATTCTCGCTACCTCCTTTATCTCCATTCATTCTCTCTCACTTCTTTATCTCCTTTTATTTTCTCTCTCTTCTTTATCTCCCTTTATTCTCTCTCCCTTTATTTTCGCTCCCCCCTTTTATTCTCTCTCTCCCTCCTTTCTATCCCTTCTTTATCTCCTTTTATCCCTCTCTCCTCCTTCCGCATTCAAAACACCCCGCGAGCCACGTAAGGAAAACCCGTCCTAAACCGTCGACATCGTGTAGACGGACTGTATATGCGGTGTCCGTTGCAGACATGACGTAGATTAGGCGTAGACAGCTGGTAGACACTGAGCAGACATTCGCGCAGATTGGGGGGGTTGGGGAGAGGGAGGGAGGGGGAGTTGAGGAGGGGGAGGGAGGGAGGGGAGAGGGGAGGGAGGGAGAGGGAGAGGGAGAGGGAGAGGGAGATGAGGAGATGGAGCGAGAGAGAGAGAGAGAGAGAGAGAGAGAGAGAGAGAGAGAGAGAGAGAGAGAGAGGAGAGAGAGAGAGAGAGAGAGAGAGAGAGAGGAGAGAGAGAGAGAGAGAGACAGAGACAGAGCGACGAAAAAAAGAAAGAAAGAAATAGAAAAGAAAAAAAAAAAAAGAAAAAAAAGAAAAAAAGAAAAGAGAAAACAAAAAAGACAAAGAAAACAAAAAAAGAGAGAGAGAGAGAGAGAGAGCGTCCGTCGTGCAGCAGAAGCGCCATCCACCGCCCTCCTCGTCTCGTCAGCGCCGCCGCCCCCCCCCTCGAAGCCGGGGCCTTTCCCGTGGCTGCTGCGCCTCCCGATGATCATGGCGATAACCGACGAAGGGAAATGAAGAGAAAGACCTTCCCGACCGCGGTTTATCTATCGTGCGG